GAGCCCTCTCATGTGCAAGAGGCTGGAGGACAGAGGCCATAGCATAGATTGAAGGGCACAGGGTAGACAGGTTTTCCCCTGCATCTCCCAGTACCTCTCTCTCTCAAACATTCTAAGGACCTATTTTCTCTCACAGCTCTAAAAAAAGAAGGTTCTGAAGATGTACCATAATTCAGACTTTCAGCTGTGAGTGGCAAAAGCTTATGAGAGAACTTCTGATGCTCGGAAGGAGTGAATTTACACCATTCTTCCCCCCATCCATATGCTTACTATTGCAGAAGCAAAGGTTAATCAGTACTTTTTGCTTTTCAGATATCACATGTTGGAGCTTTTACTTTTAAAATAGAAGCATTAAAATAAAAGGAATTTTCCTGTTACTCTTGGACTTTTCCTAGGCTTTGATTAGCTAGCAGAGAACAGCTTTTGTTTTTATTAATGGAGTGGATGTCTGGCTTTGTTGGGTGTTTCAGTTTTGGCTTCCATTTTGTATCAAGAACAAAAAGAAAAACTGAAGGAGGATGATTTACAGTAACAATAATAATTTTAATACATCTCCTTAACCTTCATCTGTATCCTACCTTAAAAGTGATTAAGGTGCTATGGCTATATAAATTATTAATAATGATATAACGAATTTTATATCCTTGTCGACTAATGTTTCCACAATGTGGGTGGAAACAACTCTTCTGGTTAGACACCTATTGGATTGCTTGCAATGTAAGTGTTGGAGTCCAAGAAATGTAATAAGGACAAGAAAGGAGACAAATAACATGTTTATTTTCATTTGTCTCTAAGGAAGTCTCAAAACCCATGAAAATGGGAGGTTTTATGTTTTCATGAAAACATGTTTTACATTGCCCATAAAAACACAACTTCAAAATAAACAAATTCAACTTGCTTGCATTAGTAAAGTTCACTTTAATTAGGCCAGTTACATACCTTTTAACGTTAGCAGTGTCAGACTATAATGCTGTGTGACCTGTAACTCACACATCTGAGAAATGCTGCCTTTCCTAATGGAAATGGATTAAAAATTTGTTCCCTTACTGTAAGATGCACAGTATGTTGGATGAGCAACATTGTGTGCTCATCTCTAGAGAGTTTAGTGTAAAACAACTCCAGATTTTGTTTGGTGATCTCAGAGCTGGCTAAATAATTCCAGCCTTCCACAGCTCCAAATGCTGACATGCAGGGAGATGAAACTTTTGGATATTAAAATCCTGCTCTTTGATGCTGAAGGAGATTAGTTTTTGGATTCCATTCATTGACACAAAGGCCAGTGCTGAATGGAGGTGATATTTATTGAAACCCCTGAGTAAGCTGAAATCACTTTAGGCATGTACATGCATACATGTATTCTCTCACATTTAGCCAACTCCCCACGATGCTGTTCCTTTGAGCCAAGAACAGACAACTTTCAGGGACTTGGCTTGAAAAGATGTGTGCATGTAACACCCTCTGTCACATTTTACAAGAGGCTGCAATCAAGCAGTCTTTATACTTGGATTGTCTAGACACTGTGACAGTGGGAGGGGACCAGTGAAAGAAAAAGCCCATTTTGTCAGTGGTTCATTTTGCATCAAATTCCCCTTCCCTGTGTGCTGCTGTTGAAAAGATAAAGCAAGCAAAAACCAAACAAAAATCAAGACATTCATAATTCCCTGGTTCTCTATACCTATAATTCCTAGTAATAAAAATTCAAACCAACTTTTTAAACTACCAGTGCATATGTATACCATCCCCTTGTTTATTCACTTTTTTCAGAATAAATGCTTGTAGCAATTTTTCTTTTTGCTGCTGATTTGTCATTTCAACTTTTTCCTTATCAATGTGTAAATTAAATATGTAGGGTTGTCTTGTCAGCAGTTGTAAATTTATACATGAAATATTCCCGGATTTCAGAGGGGATTTTTTTTCCCGGCTCAACTGAACGTTTGTGAATGAGCAACAAGAAAACCACTTTCCCTCCCACTGGTCTCCCAGATTTCATGTTTCCTATCTCTTTTTTCTCTAGTTTTCTTCTCTACTTTTTTCATGAAAGCACATGGAAAAAAAATAAGAGTAGAAGCAGAGCTGGGAGGGGAAAGGGAGGAGGTGATAGAGTTTCACAGGGATGTAAGTCTGCAAGCCAACAAAAAGGCTGTGAAATTCTTCTTTAAACAGTAAATCCTGCATATCACTTAGTTGCTTTGAGGTGAATAAGCCCATGTTGCAGCTTTTAAGAAGGCTGATTTAATGGCTTACTCTTTCCTGCCCAGGTGGTCAGCACCTCTCCACTCTTCCTGTGGAGCTGGGATTTCTCTCTGGTATCTCCCATGCAGCGTTTGCTCGCTGCTCATATTTTGCTCTTGGCACATCACAGCCACAGCTTTCACAGAGGTGTAGCAGGGTCCAAGTAATGAGTCCCAGACTCATCCCTCCCACCCAAAGCCTTCTGGGCTCTGCCCATGCTGAGAGCAGGGAGATGAGCCATCACCCCACAGGGCTCTTGCCTTCCACGTGGTCCTGCTTCACTCCCTGGCAGTGCTCATAGGACTCCTTGGTTCTGAGAGGAGCCAGGAAAACCTCAATTCTGAGTGACATCTCCAAACAAAGGGTCTCCAGAGCCAGACTGTCAAAACAGTAAAAGCAGTAGCCATGATTCCACAAGAATCTGGCCGGGGCACCTCTGGACCTCTCATGGTCCCTGTGGGCTCACCTGGTGTCACTGCTGGTCCTGGGGATGCACAGCACTCTGCACCTGCAGCTCCAACCCAGCTTCCAGAGCGAGCAGAGGCAGGAGGTCAGCAGGGCTACTGCAGCAGTAACTGCAGCAGTGTTCTGCAGCCTCCAGGCTGCAAACCCCTTTCCCTCAACCAGCTGTTGCTTTAGTTCCTGTGGGATCCCAGGTCATGCCATCCATGCAGCAAGTGAAGAGTGAGGAGTCCATTTTTCTGTTCTCCCCAAAGAGACTTAAGCATTTTGGTGAGGGAACCCTGCTGAGTGGATGTGGTGTCTTGAAGGGAAAAATGAAATGCAAAATGGGCAGTTTTAAGTCAGGCTAAGAGCAAGAGAGGGTAGACCCATGCTAAGTGCAGGCAATACAACTCCAGGAAATAAATAAAAATAAAATTACAGTGTAACAGAATCAGGTTGGAAAAGGCCTTTGAGATCATAGCATCCAGCCTTTGACTGATCACTAGCCTATGTCCAGTCCTAAACCCAGTTTGGCTAGGTCTGATCCCTTGGCAGTCCTGTGTGTGCACTTAAGATGATCTGTTCCATAAGCTTCCTGGGCACCAAGGTCAGACTGACAGGCCTGTATTTTCCCAGATCCTCCTTCTGCTCCTTCTTGTGGATGGGTGTCAAATTGAGCAAACAAAATGGTGCTTATTTTTCTGAACAGACTTGTAGAATAAGTGGAAGTATCTGCAAATTGTAGAAAATACCCTTCAACAGAAGCGTTTTTCTTTTTAATTAGGCAGATTAGATGTGGGAAGCAGGTATCCAGACTGTGAACTGTCACAGAAAAACAGGGAGCTGCTGCCTCATTTTTCAACCATTAGCACTGGTGAAACATTCTTTTCCTGAATCCCATGAGTTTGTCAAAACCAATTTCCTGTGTTGATGTTGGGGTAAGGCATAGAAAATAGCCAACCTGGCAGCTACAGAAAAACTAGGAAATTTTAAAAAGCACAGACTTTTTATTTACCCAAAGTGACAGATATTGTCTGAATTGTGAAATGAGGGGGAATGTACTTCGCTATATATTTTTCTGTTCTCTGTATTTTCTCCTTACCTATTTACATATTCTGAAAAAAGTATGTCTAGTAAGTAATTTTTAAGATTTTTTTTTCTGCCACCTCTCTTCCAACCCCACTGCTCAGAGAATGTTATTTATGTGCCGGGTTGCGTCTAAGAGTCACTGTGACTGGTTCAGATCAAGGATGCATCCAGACAAGTATTTGATTCCCTAAGTTCAATATACCCAACTTCAGAAACTCAGGTTTTGTGTCTAGGCTCAACTTGGGCCAGTAGGAAAGAGTTCAGTAACACCACCACATGGATTAGAGAAAGTTAGAGCTAGCAGATGAAAGGCAGCACCAGGTGACAGGACTAACCTTGCAGGACTGCTTCTGAGATGTGGCAAATCACCCTGTCTCCTCCACAGAGAGAGGCAGGCACCTAAAATAAAAAAGATTAACCCAGGCCCTGGTAGTGCCCCATGAGGGTACCGAACAAGAGGTTACAAGAATTAAAAAAAAACTTGGAGCAACCTTTTTGAAGCTGTAATTTTTGAAACCCTCTCAGTTTCATCCTGTGCAGAATCTGTACTTGGACTTGCTCTGTATTTGATATGTTAATTCTTCTGGGACTTTCTCTAGTTTCTTAGCCCCACCCTCTATTACCAGTGGTTTTAGCCTTCAATTTGGTACTTCATGAAAAGGAGCTTCCTTTTTTTTTTTTTTTTAGCTGTGTCCTCTGAAAGCTCCCTCCTACTTTCCTGCTGTAATGATTCTTGGCTCACAGCCACGCAGAGCTCCAGCAATGGAAGAAGGGTTTTACTGTCTTTAGGTGAAGTCCACTCGTGTAGTTGGCAAGGTCAAATATGAACCACAAGCTAAGTGCCTCATTCTGTGTTCTGGGGCCAGTCTTGAACATCTCCAGCTTAACTTTTTTGTCTGAGTCCTTCGCCTGCCCATTGCATCCTCCTGGCAAAGGGTGACAAGATGGGTTTCATCTTCTTTGTCCCTCTATGCAAAATATTGCCTGTCAGGGCTGAACAAAGATCTTCCTCTACCCTAAGAGCAGGCAGGACCCCCTTCCCCAGGCCTCAGGGAAGATTTTGTGTGAGCTTTTTTCCAACATGTTGCTGTTTATATTCAAATCACTGCAGGCTTTTTTTCTAAAGTACTTAACTTTTAAGCAGTGAACTTAATTTGAGCCTCATCATATGTGTGTTTGGAGGAGATCTGGTGAGCATCAACATATGAGCATCTATCCTTTCCTTCCTCTCCTAGGATTTTAGATAATGGGCTGTGTGCAATGTAAGGATAAAGAAGCAACAAAACTGACTGACGAGAGGGATGGCAGTTTAACTCAAAGCTCAGGCTACCGCTATGGGACAGATCCTACTCCACAGCACTATCCTAGCTTTGGTGTGACCTCAATCCCAAACTACAACAACTTCCATGCCACAGGAGGCCAAGGACTGACCGTGTTTGGTGGAGTCAACTCCTCCTCTCATACAGGGACGCTGCGTACAAGAGGAGGAACAGGTGAGCTTGAAAGTCTTATTTTAGTGCTGATAGTGTCAATCATACATCTACAGCAGAGTCCTGACTGTCTCAGCATGTTGCTTTTAGGAAGAGTTATTTCATGAAATTGTGTGAAGAATTGAGGTAAGGTGGATGTGGGTCTTTACCCCTACCTTTGCTAACTTGCAGGTTCACTTGGGGTTGAGAAATTATGTGTACATGCCAAATTTGGCTAACTGCTTCATCCCTCTACTAGGGAATGTAAAGTGTGGGCTGAGCCACCTCAAGCAGTTGAACACTTGGCATGGCTATGGCTAAACTGTCTTTTCAACCCCCTTTGCCTGCTTGGGATCCTGTGATTGTACAGAGTGAAGGAGGTGGAGTTGCCTACTGGCTGCATAAGATTAGAGAGAATCGTTCAAAAAAGTTGGAGGGCTCAGTTTGGTTAGCTCCTCAGCAACTGGAGCAGCTTACCTGTGCCTTAGCCACATCATCTCTTGAGGTTCCTTTCCCTCCTGTCTTCTGTGATGGAGTATAACCCACCTGTCTTTTTCTTTAGGTGTAACTCTTTTTGTGGCGCTTTATGACTATGAAGCAAGAACAGAAGATGACTTGAGTTTTCACAAAGGAGAAAAATTCCAGATACTTAACAGCTCGTAAGTTTTAGGCTTGGGAATCTGCTTTTTAATAGTTTCAAACTTAAAATGTTTACAATAATGTTTGTTTATGTTATTAGCAAAATCTGATGTTGGCTATTCAAGTATGGAGGGGATTTGCTCTATGCTTACTCGTCCTTGCATTTAGTGTGCTTTTGCAAAGTGCCATATTGTTGGGGAAAAAACTTCAACCACATGCAGTTTTACTTTTAAAAAAGTGTTAGATTGTGTGATTTACTGCTTACATTTTACAGCAACCCCACATTCAGAACTGAGACTACCAGCTCTGTACTTCATCAGTAGCTACAGAGGTTCTGCAAGGCATGTACTAACACTTTTTCCAATCTGCTGCAAGTATCCCTACACAGAAATGAGCTAAAAGCTGATTAACAAAAGAGTCATTATGCAGACTCACATGCCAAATTTAAAAAGATTTTTCTCCTTTTAAAGGTAGGTGATGCAGTCAGAACTTCCTAAGTTCTGTTGCATCTGACATGAAAACCACATTTCCATCCTGGAAATCATCAACTTTAAATTAATTTTATCAACTGCCCATAGAAAAAATCCCTTAGCGATTTAAAAATAACTTCTAAAACTCACTGTGCTACTGACCTATATCTGAACATCTTGTAATTCTTGGCTAAGAGCATAAAGTGGCAGGCTCTGTTTTATGTTCACTACTGCTATCATGTGGAGGTAAAAATGGGTTAACAACCAAGTATGTCACTTTCTAAAGGCTTTGTGATATTGGCCTTCTCTTTTTCTCTTATAATATGTGACAATGAGGCAAACTCACCCCTGGTGCAACTCCTGGTAATTTTAATATAGCAACTGCAAGGTTGGAATTGGCTCAATGTGCATTGAAGTTTAAAAAAAATCAGGTAATTCTGTGGAATATTTCATGAAGCTAAAGAGCTTTGATGTAGATGAAAGCACAAAAACTTCAGTTACGACTTGTAGAGAGAGCAGCAGTTTAAAACCTTTCTGCTTCTAAATTAGCGGTTGGAAAGGAACCCTTTTTACACCTATGATCCATTTTTGTTCACATTGCCTTCTGCTTTCCTAACCTTGCACAAACGATGCCATAACTTGAAACAAGAAGTTCCACATATTATAAATACCTTGTACATGCCAGTTGATGAAATCTGGTGGTGCACACCAGGACTTATGGAGCAATCATCCTTGGAGTTGGTGAGACAAAGACGTTTCCCTTCATGTCAGTGGCTGCAGTACACGCATTTTGATGCAGATAATTACTACCTGGAAGAAGGGTTTCTAAGAAAGGAAAAAAGACCAAGCATTCATTGATTTTCCTGTAGGATTATAGAAGCTCAGTTCCCATCGTAGTTAGGTCTATTTGCTTATAAACATGGCCCTAACCACACCTCTGGAATAGTGACAGCCAGACTGGGAATCTCCAGAAAGCTGCTTCTCTGTAACAATGCTTCCTCTTTTCTTACTTACATCAGGAATGATATTAAATAAGCCCATTTTTTAAGCACCTGCCAATGTGCTTGCAAATAGGTAGCATATATGTGCAAAAAAAATGTAGTTTGTCTGAAGCTTTTGGAGGAGTTTGGATTTGGGTTTTGCTTTAGCTCTCAACAAATGAAATTAGATTTGTGCTTTGGAGTAAACATTCAGCGCAACACCTGAAATGACATACAGGGGGTATCCCTGTGATTTGAAACCAGAAATTTTACTAAAGGCAGTCTAGGTGAAAGAGGTACCTGCAGAGTGGTTCAGAGCAGAGCCTGACTTTGGGGTTTCAAAACACTGAGCCATCCCCAGCATTCCCACCCCCACACCCTGTCTGGCCCCATTGACTAGCTGCCTCCTACCTCAGCTGCAGGTCTAAAATTAAGAGCTGTGAAAAAAAGCCTGCATTCCTCCTCTTTTCTGACAGTGCTTTGAGAGATTTAAGCTTCTCTGTCAAAGCAGAGGGGGTTGTTCCTGATGTTGTGATCATCTATGGGACTGCTTTTTTCCTCCCTAGATACGACAAAATACCTCCACCTAGTGGGCTCTCTGCACAGTAAGGAGAAGAGATGGAATGGGACAATTTATCAAGCTCAGTGTGGCATAATGCCTCAGAAATGTTCTACAGCAGCATATGGGGGAAGGGTTAGCACTTCACTGGCAATACTAGAGACACAAACAAAAAGGGCCATTTGCCTGACACACTAATGCACACAGGGTATATTAAAATAGTGTCAACTGCCAGCCTCTGCAAAAGCTATTTGCACTTCATGTTTCTTGAACTGTAAAATTGGAAGCGTCTTCCTTTTGACTTATCACAGCTGTTTTCTAGTTGTTTTCCACAGAGTTCGTGCTCCTTTAAACTGTTAAATAAACTGAAGTTGAAAATTTAAAGAATTCACCTTGACACAACCTTTCCTTCCAGTATTGGCTTAGAGAGTGTGTTTTCTACAACTGTTTTCTTCCAGAAGAGGCTGAATTCTTCATTTGAATTCTCCATTATTATTATTTGATAATAGTGTTTTATTTAGTGACCAAGTCTCTGGTTTACAGAGAGGGGAACTGAGAAGGAGTTTCTAAGCAGTCCAGAAATAGAAAAGAGAATGCTTGTTAGTAGTGGTAGGAGTTAAACACTGGTGAATCTGGTGCTGAGAATGAAATAAGAATTGCTAAATCCCAAATCATTGCATCCTGCAAAAAGCTGAGAAATAAACTTCTCTTAAAGCTGCACATCCTGCAGCAATGTGCATTGTCTGAAAGGCAGTACCATGCCCCACTGTGTGCACCAGTGTAAAGCTCATGCTCAGCCTACAGACTGCTGCCTTAAGATGGTCCTGCATGAACCTCTTCACATTTAAATGTTGTAGAAGAGGTATTGTAAGTATTTGAAAATGCAGCCTAGTCCTGTGCTACCTCCTCCAGGTGGCCAGCAGAGGGAATCTAGACAATGAAGTGTGAATACTTAAGGGCCATCTAAAATGCCATGTTGATTGATGGCTTTTTGATATCTTTGGGTTTCAGATTAATTATGCTCATAGAAATTTAAAACTAGCAGTGAATGTGGCATTGTATTGTCGTTTAACCTCAGAGAACAACTCAGCCCCACACAGCTACTCATTCACCTCTTCCATGGTGGGATGGGAGAGAGAATCAGAAGGGTAGAAGTGAGAAAAATCACGGGTTGAGATAAAGGCAATTTAATAGGTAAAGCAAAAGTCATGCACAGAAGCCAAGCAAAACAAGGAATTGATTCACACCTTCCCATAGGCAGGCAGGTGTTCAGCCATTCCCAGGAAAGCAGGCATCCATCATGCCTAACCATGACTTGGGAAGGTAAACACCATCACTCCAGATATTCCCCCCTTCTCCTTCTTCCCCAGCTTTACATGCTGAGCATGATGCCATATGTCATGGAATACCCTGTGGTCAGCTGGAGTCAGCTCTCTTTGGCTGTGTCCCCTCACACAGATCCGTGCACACCCCCACCCCCTCTCTGCTCGGGTGAGAGGCTGAAAAAGACCTTGACACTGTGGGAATGCTGCTCAGCAGTAATGAAAACATCCCTGCCTTATCAACACTGTTTCCAGCACAAATCCAAAACACAGTCCCACACCAGCTACTTTGAGGAAAATTAACTCTATCCCAGCCAAAACCAGAACACAGCATTCATTTTGGCAATTTTCCTATAAGCTCTTTCAAGGGTCTGTATTAGAATAATTGTTATGGACACAGTTTTCAATATTCTAGTCCAAATTCAGCCCTCGCCAAACCTGATTACACTGGGCTGTTCTGCCTCTTCACACTGTTACACTGCATCTGAAAGGCTACAGTACTAATCGCTGCTGCAATAATTCTAGATACAAAGAAATATGTGTATTATTTGGGTTTAGGTGCAAACAGCTCTCTCAGAAGCACACCGATGATAAAGAGTTGAGTTGCTGTGGCTTCTTACGGCCATGCAGTTTTGGGTGCTGTTAGCAGAGTCAAATCATTGTCTTCACAGCTGTGCCTTGCTCTCACTTCTCCTCACCTCTGTTTCCACAGGGAAGGAGACTGGTGGGAGGCCCGTTCCTTGACAACAGGCGAAACTGGTTACATTCCCAGTAATTATGTGGCTCCAGTCGATTCCATCCAAGCAGAGGAGTATGTTTTCTTTTTTTTGTTCTGAAGACCCATTAGTGCTATATTAGAAGGCCGTGTGAGGAGCTGGTTTTGATTGATTGCAGTGATTTTGATTGATTGCAGTGATTTTTCAAATGACTTACATTATATTTATTTCAGTTCTTAACTGCACTGATAAATAATTAGGTAATTAGTAACAAAAGAAGCACGAGCTCAGTGCTTTTTCAATGTCAAAACAAAGGAGGAAAACCTAAAGGAACACAGGTCTGCTTCCTTTTTTCAATTGTCAGCTAATTTCAAGCTTTAACCAAAAGGTGCCCTTGCTTTTCCTGAACCAACTTGTAAAAATATTTTGAGAGTCAATTAGTGTGCAAACTGTCCATTAAAGAGGACATGTTGTATCAACAAATACAAATCCTAGGATAGGTGGGATGTCCACCATTCATACACAAGGTTTCCTAATGAGGATTTATTTTCTATGCAAAGAAAAGGAGTGATGTGTGTATTCACATTATTTCCAATATAAAAGATACAGTGGAGGAGGTTATAGAGCTGAGCAGGTACTACTGGAGTCTGCACTTCAGGTTGTCCTTGGTTGATTGTGAAACAACACAAAAACATTGCTGCAGGAAGTAAAAAAGGCTCTAACTCTGAAAGCCTCATATAGAACCACAAGTAAAGTGGTTGAATCTCGTCCTTCTACTTAGATTTTATAGCTGTGCTGCAACAAAAATATTGAGTACTACTAAATCACTATGTAAGTTAAATATTTATAGCAACATCTGTACAAATACTGCTCTTTGGCAGCGACAATTTTCTGCCCTTTTCCTTGTATATACCCTCCACCCACCACATCTTGGTCTCTGTTTGCCCAAGTCTGGCCTTTGTCAGAGGACACCAAGCATTCTCAGCAGCTGCTGATTATGAGCTTAAATGCAAAGAGCTACAGCCCAACACAGGGAACATCTACTACACGGTTTGTCACGTTGGCTTTCCAGCACGACAAAAGAGACACAGTGTGACAAAAATGGTCAACTGTATCTGGGTAACCACAGTTTGCACACAAAGTCCTCTCCATCTCTGGGCTTTGTGACACTATTTGGTGATGCTAAGTAGCATTTGTCTTACCACGTTCTGATATTTCCCTAAGGTGGTACTTTGGCAAGCTTGGCCGAAAAGATGCCGAGAGGCAGCTGCTGTCGTTTGGAAACCCCAGAGGTACCTTCTTGATCCGGGAAAGTGAAACTACCAAAGGTAGGCTGGGCAAAGGTATTCTGACTATGGATGAAAAACTGTGCTGAGTGTGTGAAATACTCTCTTCAGTGGTATGAAGGTAGAGATAAGTATCATTTTGCATGTATTTGTGTTAGGGAATTGAATGTCTGGATATCCTACGTCTTAGGGCCAGTGCTCAAAGTAGAGAACAACCAAAGTACAGCTCATGCTCAATCCATGGTATCTGCAGTGCAAGCCACATGGTGTGATCCTTTGAAATGCTGGATCATTGGGGGGAACAAAAAAAGGAGAAAAAAATTATGCAGCAGTTTTAAATTCACATATTAAAAGGGAAAAGACTTGAATATACTTCTAATTAATATATTCATAAAGTATTCAACTGTATCCATTCTGTTGAAGTCAAGTGGAAGGGTGTATTCTCCTCCTTCCCTTAAAAATATTGGAGGAGTTCCAGTTTTCTTGGCGGGTGCTATTTTTTCTTTTACATTTTGCTCATAAAGCCTGTCAACATCTTCTTCAAAAGCTTCACATGTATGAAAAGATCTTTCTAATTCATACAACTATTGAGAGAAAACTTGCAACTATGTAAAAACAAACCTGGCCATTTCTCAATTAACCAACAATCCAAAACAAAAGCTGTGGGAGGCATAAGTCACTAGAATTAATTCCATACATGTTCTGTAGTCTAATGATGGTTCACATAATTAAAGCACCAACTTGTCAGTGCTTTGATCAGAGCACACTATCAGCTAGGCTTAGCATGCAAGATGTCACGGCTAGTGAAGGAGTTTAAAGAAGAGAAGCAATACTTGCACTCCTCTCCCTGACCTATCTTCAAATGCTGCTTTCAATCATCTAAAATTGTAAGTTTTGCATTATTCCCTGCTGCAGTCACTGGATTCTTCCTTTGCTGCATGTAACTCTGAAGACTGTTTTTGGTGCAAAATCTGAATAGACTTGCTGTTGTTCCAGGCAGACAATTTCTTTTCACCCCACAGCTTCACCATGCTTCCCATAGCAGTGAGGCACTCTCACCAGGAGTGAGACAGGCTCTAACTTGCTCTTTTTCTGCAAATAGCCTCCACCTGTTTTTTTTCACCAACAGTTGCTCTGATATGTGTGAGGAGCAGGACTTCATCCCACTCTGTGCCAAGTTTAAAAACTCGCTCATGTATGCAGCTATGGATCCTAAAAACAAACACAACACTGTTTCTCTAAACCACATCATCAGTTTAGTCTGGTTTCCCCAGTTTTTACACAGTGATAGGGGATATGTTTTGCAGCACTGTTTACTTAGCTAAGTCAGGAGTTTTTCTAATCTCTTGTGAGACACAAAAGCATTGGGGAAATGCAGTAATTCATCACAGGTAGACTTAGGGCAGCAATTAATTTAATTTCTCTGCATTTGAACTTCAGGCTCTCTACATCTTCAAGCAGAGTTTGCATCAAAGCAATAGGAAAAAACAACCATTTTTGTAAAAAATGCCTATTTCTCTTCTCATCCTTGTGGTGTTTGAGTATGTTGTTAGAAGAAAACAGAGAGCTTGTTGCTCAAGAGAGAGAAAAAATCAATTGGGTGGGCTCAAATGATGTGTTCTGCCATAAGTCTTCTCAAAATGCCCTACCTCAACTAGTCATCTTAAGGCTTAAGGCAGGAATTGTTTTATGACCTAGAATTGTCCCTTCTGTTTGAAATAATAACAATAGTAAAATTAATCAGGATCATGTTAGAAGTATCATTAGGGATGATTTCAGTATTAATTTAACCTCCCTTGATCACGGTTGCCTTCTCTTCTTACTTTCAAAATAAATCATACGGAGCTGGCTTTTCATTTTTTCAAGCCTGACTACCCAGGTACTTCATCAGTTCTTGTCTGTATAATCATTCACCTGGTTTCAATCTCCACCTTTCAAGACTGTCTGGTTTTAGTTGTTTGGCTTTTAAAAAAAAACCATTAGTATGATATATTGTAATGTCTTATTTCTATCCCAAATTTTTATTATTTATCTCTTGTACTTAAATTTGCCATCAGATAATAATGGATAGTATCGATAACTAACAGCCTAAATAAATGAATAATGAAATACATCTTAGTTCTTGTTTATGTCCAGGTTTGAACTAAAGCTTCAGTCCTGACTGATCTGAGGTCAGTGGGGGTCCACAGAGGACCACCCACACAGCTCTGATTGCAGACCTGGAGCTACAGATTGTTTACATTTTCCTAAAGAATCTAAAGTAGTGACCAGATATGCAGGGAGCGTGACTAAAGAAAATACAGCTGCTGCCAGTGGATCAAAACTCAAAAATGTGGAGGTGGAAAAGAGTGCCTGGAAAATTCTGAAAGGAGGCTGACAATGTACAGCCCAGAGTGGTGGTACAAAGCATGCACAAGATGTGCTTGCAAATCACCAAAAAGGCTTTGAACTCCTAGTTGAGAGAAATGTACTGATTCAGGAAGAGAACCTCTTCAGAAAACTGTCCTGAACAAACAGTATTTTTCTGCACTTAGAAATCATAGAATCACAGCAAAGCTGGAGTTGGAAGGGATCTTAAAGATCATCTAACTCCAACCCCACCAAAATAAACACGTGAAAGTAAAATAATGGGTTTTTTTAAAGGGAAAAAAAAGAAACATAAAACAACCCCTGACACTCCTTTTAGGGTGCCTCCCATTCAAATAAACCAGAATCATCTGGTTTAAGTGCTGGCTCTTTTCCTCCTATATAGGGGTCAAACAACAAGGAATTTGAGAAGTCCTTGGAGTCAGGGTGGAGACATTTTGCTCACTGCATCTCCCTCAGGGATGAGCCACCCACCAGTGTAACCTGTTGTTGGCTAGTGTGTATCCTGGGGATACATCCAAGGAAGATATCTTACACTGGGACCACCTTTCAAGTCATACAAAACTGTTTGCTGGTGGTTTTCCTTTTCTGCCCTTAGCTGACATGGTTACCAATGACAGCAGCAGAGGCTCCAGAAGGAGGACCTTCCTGAGCTCTCTGCAGCTGACAGTTTCCTCTTCTCCTTTTAATGCCTGAATTCCCTTGAGTAAACACAAAATTTGTCTGAGCCATGAGTGAGGACTTGTTTTCTTTGCAGCCTTTGAAATGGGCCATGTTTTTGTTCAGATGCTGTTTTACGCTGTAAAATGTGGCTTTGCTTTTGACACTGTAGAGAACCACTGCAGAGAATCCCTGTAGAGAACACTATCCAGTGTGTCACTGGATGTAAAATAGCACTGTCCTCCAGGGTAAGACACCTGAACGTGCAGGTCCCCACGTAGGTGGCCGAGCTGTTTTTGCAGTCAGCAGGAAGCCAAGGCTCTGTTCAGCCACCCGTGACTGCAGACACCAAGTGCCCACGCTGGCATTACACCACAGTGCCAGAACACTCGTGGAAACCGGGCTGGGACTCAGCTGCCCTCATAGCATCACAGGCTTATGTATGGGCATATAAATCGAGCCCCCAGCCCACCTGCAGACTGCCACCACTGCACCTAAAACTAAATCCAGCCCATCAACTGAGGTTCCTTTACCTGGCCTGAGCATCCAGAGCCACTTCAAATGCCTGCAGGGCATCCACATGGCTGGAAAAATGCGACAGCCTGTGGGAAAACTGCCAAGCAGCATGTCCTGGGGCATCTCACATGGCACTTAATCCCTGTGCTAGGGCATCTGAATCCCACTAGTAAGCTCTAAAGCCCCATATGGATTTGGGAAGTTAAACATGAAGTTCTTGCAGATCTACTGGTGCTCAGTTTTGGTGTAGTTTTATCTTCCAAAGACCAAGGTGTGCTTATTTGGTTGTTTATAAAGAAGTTTGGGATCCATTCAGGTGACAATACTACCCATATATAAAGTCATTATCTCCAGAGCTTCCTGTGAAAATCTTGATATTTACCGCCCACTGGCATTTACATAAAGTATAGTATTTGCAGTGTAACCTGACACTTAGAATAGGAAAAGTCAATTTAACAGCCCGGAGCAGAAAATGTTAAAATGTGAGTTTTCATTTACACAGAAGTCCCAATATCTTTTCTAGAACATTGTGAAAGGGACATGGTATGAACGTCCCAGGATTTCTCTGACACTTATCTCATTGTATTAGATTAATTTGTTCTTTTTCAGGATACAGTGAGCTTTTTGGAAGCAATTTCTCTTTCACTTTGTAACAACTGACTAGGAAACAGAAATCTTTGTGACTAAAAGCTAATTACAATGTTTTATTTCTCCTTTGCTTGGAACAGGTGCCTATTCCCTGTCTATCCGAGACTGGGATGATATGAAAGGAGATCATGTCAAACATTATAAGATTCGTAAACTTGACAATGGTGGATATTATATCACAACTCGGGCACAATTTGAAACTCTTCAGCAGCTGGTTCAGCATTACTCAGGTAATTTTTCAGATAATATATGGCACTCTGAAGTATTTTAAGACAAAAGTGTTTGCTACTGAGCTGATGTATGTGTGAGATGCCCTAAAGAGTCATTTGATCTATGACTCTTGCTTGTTGCAATGCATCTTCTGTTATCCCTTTCCCATTAGAGTTACAAATGTCTTTGAGTGCCGTTCACAGGATACAGCAGCAGAGCTTTTAAAACCTGACACTTTACTGTGCTAGAGGTTTTGCCAGCTCTCCCTCTTCTAAGCAAGCAGAATTACCAAATTTGACTTGCACACCTCTAGGCATGAATTCCCTGTGAATGAGTGCTCATATGTGCCATTTTGCAGCACACTATTGCTAATAAAGCAAATAGGAATTGCACTGTGGAATTCAGTCACCTAAAACAATGGCCAAAAGGTTTGCATATATTAGATACATTACATATATTTTCCCACTGAATTTTTGTTCTATGTGCAAGGTATTAACATTTAAATTATGTTAAATAAATAAGGCAATATGCATGTTTCTTTATGCACACTATTTGTGTCCACCCACCAAACTTTTTTTTTATTATTCCTGTGAACAAAGTGTGGCATGCACTATTCCACCCAAAAGTACATCCTGTTGTCATTGGCAATTGGTGTACAACAAATGCAATTTCAAAGCCCCCCAGACCTCTGCGTAGGACAATTGGTCCTTATACAGAAGATTGCCATGCTTCTCAGCATAGTCATTTTTTAAGCAGAAATTTATATTTTGAATTAATTGCTCTTTGGGGTTTTTTTCCCCCTTTACTTTATCTTTTCATAATATTATTAACAGATTACCCCAAATGCTTGCTGCTCAAAAACTTTTCATAATTTTTACTTGGGAAATCAACTTCTCTGTGGGGCATTTTTTCTGTATTCTTTGTATTCTGTCCGCTGTATTCTTATGCTATTCATACTAGACATCTGGCTGTCTTCTCCACCCAATTCCTAATGGGTGTATGCTGCCAGGGAGGATTTCTAGTTGTTTCTGGTGACTCTACTTCAAGCTAAATGAGGTATAAAAACTCACATATAAGGAAGATCATTTACAACCTCACTGTACCAGTTGGTATATGTCAAATTTTAGTTTCCTGTGGTCAGCTTATTTGGGTGGCTTATTTTCCAAGCACGGATGCAGAAAAAAATAGATCTGGAAACAACCATTACTGTGCAACACGGAGGCATAATCGGTAGGATCCAGGCAGGGTAGCTCTGGAGGCATGGTGCAGCACTCCAGAAGTTTCCAGGACCCAGGTGAACACAGGAGCCTTCATTCCATCCCAGCCCCAGCTGACTCAAACCATGAGGGCTCCCTCTTGACTGCCTGCTCTGCACTCTGAATTCTGGGGGAGCCACAATGCACATTGTGCTCATAGGGTGGAGCTTGGTGTTGCAAGGAGCTTCAGTATTTGCCCACCTTATGATGCTGAAACAACCCATTCACGTGCATAGAAAGAAATTCTGCTCAGAAGAATACAGATTATGTTTGAGTCTGAAGTGCAATTGCACTTCCTCACCTTGTTCTCTTCTGCTGCACCTGCTTTAAGGTGCAAGTCTCTGTGCAGGCTTTATATTGTAGTCTGCTTTATGCAGAGTGGTATACTCCTCATCAATATTGTGGATATGTATTTCATATGTATGTATATATCATTGTTTTTACTCTTGCCAAAATATCTTATGTGACTTTTGTCACAGTTCAGTCTTCTGCAAAGCTTTACAAGAGATAATATCATGAACCTGCCTCAAACAATGCAGGACTGGCTGCATATGCTAATGAAGGTTTGCTCTACAAAAAATGTCAGACTTGCATGGCACCTACAAAGACACCTTTTTACAGAGCAGGATATAGAAAATTACTTTTCCCAGGCTACAAAAAGTCCACCAAATTTTCATGGCTGTGATTTTTCAGAAAAAGAAGTAATTAATCTTCTCGGTGTTTCTTTTACTCAGTACAGAAGCAGATCAGATTGTAATTGGCAAATTATTTTGACAAAGCTGTACTGTACCATAATAAACCAGTCACCCAAGAGGTTATCTTAATGCAGCATTGTGGGAGGAGGTAAATCCTGAGTCTGCAAGAGAAACCAATGTAGTCACCTTCCATTTCAGGCCATGCAGAGACCAAAATATTTCCCATTCTGTCTCAAATGAATATGTTTCAGTGTTCAATTCCTAATCTTCCAGGATGCTTTGTGGTATGCAACTAACAGCTGTTGTGAGTAGCATTGTTTTTATGCTTACTGTATTTGTTTCATGTCACACTTTTTTTTCTTTCCTCTCCTTTGCTGTTGGCTTCACTTCTGGCTCCATCAGAGAGAGCTGCAGGTCTTTGCTGCCGCTTAGTAGTCCCCTGTCATAAAGGAATGCCAAGGCTTACTGATCTGTCTGTCAAAACCAAAGATGTCTGGGAAATTCCACGAGAATCCCTACAGTTGATCAAGAGACTGGGAAATGGGCAGTTTGGGGAAGTATGGATGGGTATGGAGCAAAATAATTACTCTAAAATAGCTCTCTGTGTGGGAATTACAAGATGGAAGGTGAAAATGTAGGACATTGTGACCTACAAGAAAAAAAGAATTAGTAAAGCTCAAACTGCTAGGAAAAATGTCTTTGAAATCATGTCTTTGACTTTGAAATTCTCTAATCTTCAACTTTCACTATAATTGATGGCAAAAACAAACTGAAAATCCATGTTTCCTTGGAAGGTCTTGATTTTGACAAATTACCACTGTCTTAATAATAAATCAAGGCTCACATAGTAATCTCTTGGCTATACCAAGAAGCCTTTTTCTGTAAGCTAAGAAAGAATCCAAAAAACGGTGTTTGCAAATGAACTTTAATGCAGCACTGAGAGACCCTCACCTTCCATCTTTCTCAATGCATGCATAATTTTGGATTATAAGTGTGTTTTTTTTATTAATTTCCTCTCCTATAGAGAAAGCTGATGGTTTGTGTTTTAACTTAACTGTGATTGCTACGAATAATACCCCACAAACTGTTGGATTGGCTAAAGATGCATGGGAAGTTGCACGTGATTCATTATTTCTGGAACAGAAGCTTGGTCAGGGGTGTTTCGCTGAAGTGTGGCGTGGTAAGGCAGAGAATATATTTTGCTTTGGATGGATCTTTTAAGGCCCTCTTGGCAGAAATAAACATTTCAAGTATACATCTTAAAGCTAAAAGATCAGAATAGTATGAAATGTTAGTTTATATTGCCTGAAACAGTCAAATATAAATACAGTAATCCATGGGGAAGCTTCCTTTCACTTGCACACAGTGGTATGAGAGGTTAGGGCATTAAAATTCATTAAGTGCATTGGGTTTATTTGGGTGACTACACAATTGCTAGGTAATAAAATAGGAATGATGCTAAACCTGTAAGGCAGAATGGCTAACCAGAAATTAATCTGGTAAGTAGAAATTTTTCTTTCATCGTGTGTTGTAGCACTGATGGAATCAGACCCTGAAAATGTTCCCATCCACTCTCCCAGTTTAAAAATAATGGCAAATGTCAGCAAGCTGATATTGTCAAGTAGCTTTCCTATGCATCCACTTCTTCAAGTCTCTTTGAAATTTGTATCTGCAGTAGAACCCAGTAACTCAATATAGAGACCAGGGACAACAGAGGCAAAACTTGTGGACCCAGCTGAACCCCCGCTTTGAAGCCCAGAAATATTGACCTTTTCCAAACCCACTAACATTGTTTTCTGCACACGTGCGAGCTTAACTTACCCATCATGAGCCTCGTTCTTTTAAAGAGTTCAAAACAATAGCAATTCACAATTTACATAAATCTTAGTATGGCCATAGCATTGAAACACAATACAGTGGCCATTTCATGAGATGTGACTCAATTTCTGTGCCAAATTGCATTCTGTATAGACTCTAGAGTTACCAATTCAAATAAAGAATCACTATATGTTGTTTCTTCATAGAAATTTGAGGGGGCAGTTTGACCACTCCTTTTGTTGCAGTGACACAAAAATGTGTACAGCCCAAACAGCCAGCGGGTTCTCCTGGGTTCTTGCAGCTGTTTCCCATTGCAGGAATACAGCAAGGAGCACAGCAGCAAGTCTGTGAGATACACAGAATTTATAGACTAGAAATATAGACATTTATAGAACCTCACAGAATTACAGTTGACCTGTTGCAAAGAAAGCTGCCTACATTTCTATTGGCATTTCCAGATAATTGCAGTTTCTCCTTCTTGTTCTCCATCTTGAATGCATGCACAAATTCCCAATTGATGTTAATATAATGATCAGCTCTGTGTGCCATAGATCTTAAACCAATACAACAAGTTAAAGGAACAAATGTTAAAAAAAATCAGCTATGAGAAATAAAGTGCCAAGTACTAGTACCAAGTATCTGTCAGAAATGCAAAAATTATTATTACAATTATGAAATTATGTTTCTTAATTTATAGTAAAAGACATGTTAACATCCCTGAAGCATTACCAACTTGGAGTAGATTAACACAGTAAAATTTATAAAAAACACATTAAGTAGTAACTAACTACATATGGGAGGAATTCAGAGAGAAGTCTATGCTACTTTTCTATTAGAGAAATATACCAAAACAGAACAAGAAAATTTAAGAATTTAAACTGAAATCAGGGTTGAGAGAAGAAGTTAACATTTTTGTTTGATTTTCTTTTTTTAAACTGGGGAAATTCATAAAAGTATTTAAAGACAGACTTGCTGAAAACACTTCATGGTAATAGAACGAGTCCTGGGATTTTTATTAAAACAGAGAGTACACAAGTAATCCTATAAACACACGTGGTGAGATCCTATTTTATTAATGCTGGTCTGGTGCCCATGAAACTCTGGTTTTATTCCTGGTTCATATAATTTGTGGTACCTCTGCAAAATGGCCCTGACTGATGGCACACTCCGTTCTGGAGCCTCAGTGACTCCAGACAAAACACACTCCCTGTCACCCATCACAAAAGATTTTGGCCACCCTGCTTGAAATTAGAGGCAAAACCACATCCTTCCCAACTTAGAGAGGAATGCCACTAGAGCAAAGCCTTGCTTCAGCTCTGGTTTGAAGAACTGGGAGAAATTAGGACTTCGGGAGTCCTTCTGAAGTGTGCTGGGGTAAGCAGAGGTGGTAACTCAAGGCGTTACTCCACTGGCAGTGGAGTGATACCTGGCACTGAACTGGCAGAAGGCAATCAAGGCATAATGAAAACCAAACTTGCACTGCACACTTTTGACTAATATGTGCCTCAAGCCTCCCCCCAGACATTTGGGATTGCCCTTTAAAGGTGAGGAGCAGCACAGGAGCAGCAGCTCCCCCACTGCTCTTCTGCTATCCTCAGCCAGGCAAGGTGGACCTGGGACCTGAGCATTTGCACAAAAAGGACCCATTTTATGGCTCCTTTTATACTCTGGCAGGTTGCAAAAGCTCATTATAAAGTTATTTTGGCCTAACCAGTTCCCATGCAGCAGCTGAGCACTGTTATTGTTCAGGTACTTTTAACAAACTGGGTTATTTTACACATCACCTTTTTTCATGACACAGCCTTTGTGTACTTTGTGGGCTTTCTGCTATCTTCATGCTTAACTACAGAGGAGTCGATTTTAATGTGATTAATTTCTGAAGTAATTTAGTGTTGTTCTGTGTTATCACACAGTAGCTCCCTATCTGCAGATCACATTCAAAGCCATGTCAGCCCTGACTTTGGAGCAGGGTTCTGGCTAGTATGGGCAAAGGACAACCAGAAGGCAGTAGGAAAAGTTGTATTTCTGCCCATTTTAATTTTCCTTCCTTTTCCTTCCCACACAAAAAACAAACCAAAACCCCACTGTTAACATAAATAGGTCTTCTGGGTTTTTTTTCTTTACAGTCTTCCTCCTCCCCCTTGCAAATACCCAGGTGAAGCCCCACCTCTTGCAGGATACCCTGAGTCAGCCTTGCCCAGCTCTCTCCAGGTTCTTGTGCAGGCTTTTGGGTGTTCCAGAAGGCTTGGTAGGTGACGGCTAAAAAATAATGCAACTTGTCCACTTCACTGCTGAGCATGACTATAGAGCAAACTGAAGTGGACAGGAACACCTCATTTTCTGTCAGCAGTTCCTGGGGATAAGGAGGTGAAGGAAAAAGACACATTTCAGTGTGTTTCCAAAATGAAATCAATTCAGGATTTGTTTTGCAGGAGGTTTTTTTGGTTTTGTTGGTTCTTTTTTTTTCCATCTGACCCAGAACAAAACCATAATGTTAAAATGTGTTGCAAATGAGAAGTTCTGGTTTAACCAGTTTTGTTATCCAAATCTGTGACTGGAGCTGTGTTGTTGTCTGTAGCAATTTCTTGTTAGCAAGGGAATACACAAAGATGGGTTTCAGCAGTCTCACATTTCTCACTCAGAGAAGGCTTCTGTGGAGATCACTGGAAACCTTGTCTGAGTAGGACAACAGCAATCGTGCCCCGTGCCAATGGGAGTATTATTTTTCAGTGTAACAGACAAAGACTAAAATATGAAGGAGGTGTGGGAGGAATATAATGATAAGGCAACATGGGAAGCCAAACCTTTTTTAAAACATCTTATATTAAATGTCCTTGCTATTTTTTTCTTTGCTTACATTAAGCATCAGGCAGAAAAAGGAGCAGAAGATATTTAATCTAACTAAGTGTCTGTGCTTGTAGGTACGTGGAATGGAAATACTAAAGTGGCTATCAAGACCCTGAAGCCTGGCACCATGTCTCCAGAATCCTTCTTAGAGGAAGCCCAAATCATGAAGAAGCTAAAACATGACAAATTGGTCCAACTTTATGCTGTGGTATCTGAAGAGCCTATCTATATTGTCACAGAGTACATGAGTAAAGGTGAAGCCAGAGCTGCTGTGCTTGATAATATTTTTTCTTTATTGTTTTTTCTTGGGGATACAGAGGGAGGTGCAGTGGGGTGCATGCAAGGAAGGAGAGAGGGAACAGGAAGCTAGAGTTACCTCTGGCTTCAGGAGAATTATGAATTCCACTATGAACTGGGCCCAAAACCTGATGTACAAAGAAAATCTATACTAGCTGGGGGAAAGAAGTTGGTGATTGCAACTGCATCAGCATCTAAACTTCCCTGACAAGTGATATGCATTTTCTAGGTTTGATGATACTACATGCTGCTTCCCAAGATCCTAGCTTTTCCATCATCAGAGAGTTCTTAGGACATCTTCTTTCAGTGTTTACTTGTTGGCCTAGGATTTCTGTTTCTTCATTTAGCCAGTCCTGAATCTTGTCACTGCACCTCCTTCTCAGATCACACTTCACTTTCAGTCCACCCTATTATCATCATCACCACCCCATCAATACATGATTTGCACATATTATTCTTTCCCTCCTCTTTTTCCTCACTTTCCCCTTCTCCCTTGTCTCTTCCTTAAGCTACTTAACTGGTAACAGTGTAGTAAAATGAGAAAAAGAAAACTTTTTGCTCCATCAGATCTCCAGCAGGGGTGCTGAGAGCAGAGCAAAAAATCTGCTTATTTTGGAAAAGCAAATGAACCAAATAGGAAACATAAGTTCTCACAGGGAAGTTTCATTGTACATTGGAGGATACTCTCTGAAATTTTAAGTGCATTCTTTCAGTCTATTTGGAGTTGACTTTTATTTTCCTGGCAGGTGCTTGCCCACCTCCCTCCTCAGAGGCATCCAAGCCCTGACTAACTCACACTTTAATCATGTCTCAGTGACAAGCATATGCTTTTTCCCTTTAAAAATAAAGACTTTTCAAAACCCTTCTGAAGTATGGGGTTTATTTTGGCTTACTTTACTGGTTTGTACTGTAACATTTTACATCTTTGGATCTGAGCATGAGGCTGACGATTTATCAAGGGAGAAACGCTTAATCATCTGTCTTTTTCCTTTATTTATTAAACCAATTCTCTGACCTTATTTAAAGGAGGCTGCTACACTTCTCTGTTCATACACAAGATTAGGACAGAAGCTGTAGCGTCCTAGGCTCTTTTTTTAAAGCAACAGGGTACTTTCTTGTTTTCTCTTGCACAGGAAAGCAACGTTCTTGTAACTTTTGCTAACGTTGCTTTCATTTCATCTCTTCTTTGTCTTCTAAAATTAATGATGTTCATGCTGTATTTAGTTCTGGGTTACATGGAGGAGAAGCACTACCAATCTCTGAGGAAAAATAGCCTTTGAAAATGCTATCCCCCTTGGGCTCACCAGGCTGTGGGCTGACCTTTCTTTTGGAGCAGGTTGAGCTGGGATCTGACTTCTTCCATAACTTGTGTGGCTTGGAACTGAGCTGCTCCTTTGAGTTAGCTGAGGCCTTTAGAGAGCAGCAGGCATGTAGTTTTAAAGAGCACTGGAAAAGTTAAGATCAACTTTCTCAGTAATGGTCATGAAAATTTAAAACAATCCTTTTTCCTTTCCCTGCAACTCTTGTACTAGCAGCACATTCTTCTGCAAGCCAACTTAAAGAGTGAAGTGAGTACAATAGGAGAATTTGAAGACATTATGGGGTTTTTTGAAACTGTCCCTTGAACTTGAAACATTGCTGTCTTTAATATTGCACATATTGCTGCACCTCCATTCTGATGAGTTGTTTTCCTAACATCTCTCTATTGTGTCAACTCTGCATTTGCAGGGAGTTTGCTAGATTTCCTAAAGGATGGAGAAGGAAGAGCTTTGAAGTTACCGAATTTGGTGGACATGGCAGCCCAGGTCTGTCTCCAGAATATTGAGCAGTGAGGTGTACGTGTTTTATGGCCCATGTGTGTACTGAGTTTGTTTTAAATGCATGGCTTGTCTTTCCTGCTGCTCGCAGGTGGCCGCGGGAATGGCGTACATTGAGCGGATGAATTACATACACAGAGATCTGCGGTCTGCAAACATCTTGGTGGGCAACGGCCTAATATGCAAGATTGCTGACTTTGGATTGGCAAGACTGATTGAAGACAATGAATATACAGCCAGACAAGGTAAATGCAGCAGCAGGTGTAGCACTGAGTGTCATTCTTGTGGCAGGGAAAGAGTGGAACGTGGTTTTGAAAAGCTCCCTCTCCTATGCTTCAGGGCTGCTTTCAGTAAATCCTGAACTCATTTTAACTCCTAGTTAGAAGTTCACTGCTGAATGCATGTCCTAAAGAGAATGTCTTATTTTGTTGTCTATTCTTTGAAAACCAAAATGGAACAAAGATGATGAGTGAGAACACAGCTGGAAATGACAGCAAAGACAGGTTCTTCATCGTGCTATAGAAAATAGTGTTTTTTACTTACTGGTTAGGAGAGTCTGAATGTGGTAATCCAGAAAAGTGTATGTTGGATATTTCGTTTGTAGTGTGTCTTCTAGTATTAACTGACCACTATTATCACTCCTGTACTATTCTTACTTTCTTTATTTCAAACAGGTTAAAGAGTTGTGCCTCTGTGCAATGGAGCTGCCTCTCTGGGCACTATATTTTCTTTCTTTCTTTCTTTCTTTCTTTCTTTCTTTCTTTCTTTCTTTCTTTCTTTCTTTCTTTCTTTCTTTCTTTCTTTCTTTCTTTCTTTCTT